CTGATTCTGACTCCTCAGCCTTACTGTTTCTGATTTAAGGACACTTGTGATTTCACTGTGCCCATCTGGATAATTCCAGTTAATATTCATATCTTAAAGTCCATTGATTAACCACCTTAGTTCCATATAAAATCTTAATTCCACTTTGCCAATGTAACCTAATATAATCAGAGGTTCCAGTGATTAGGAGGTGGGTCATCTTGGTGAGGATGAAAACGTTCGGCTTACCACACCCATTCCTGGGGAGATTATTTAACAGTATATTATAATCCTATCTATAAATTGTGAAATAGTTCAAGATCAGTTATATTCTTTTACAAAGGGCAGAGTAACTGCACGTCATGCACAAGGGCAGAGAACATGCTAAATGGGAAAAAAAGAATATTGGATATCTAAATTGTGGCCAGAATTTGTCCCAAGGGTAGACTGCACTCTCTAGTACTTTTGATCATTTCTAGTCTTGAAATATGCATTTTTTCTCCTTATATTATTATACACAAATCTTATCCTTGTTTAGTAATTTGTAATATCCCATGTTTTTTAAAATAGTTAATCTGTTAAAATTAGGGCAATCTTAATGAAAGAATCTAATGTAAGATAATCACTAGCACAGTGGCTAGTGCATAATAAATGCTAAATAAATAAACACCTTATTATTTCTAATACTTTTTAGATAGTATAGCTGTTTTTCAGGAAGGCAAGTGAGGTATAGAAATGACCCATCTAGTGTTATACTATCCATAGGTAGAAGAATTGGGAACTCCAAACCTGTGCATTTTTCACAGTGAGGTAAGTTTAGATAGAGCTTTCTCCATAGGAACTAATTTTTTTTTCCCTATAACCTCCAAGTCACACATAAGGAACTAATTTTTTTTAAAAAAGCAATACTTTTCTATATCATTAAGCCCCAAAATATAACTGATTTAGTTCATTCTCAACTCACTTAATGTTTGATACTATAAGAAGAGATGAAAATGCCTTGGATAGGCTTTGATATAGTCTACTTTGAATGTAATCCTTTACAGTATCAAAAATAAAAGTCTTTTATGGAGACTTGGGAAAGGTGATTTGTTTTTGCCTAGAATGATTATATAAATATATAGATGTATGCTGCTGTCTTTATAGTCTTGAAATCTGTGGAAGCCACAACTCAAATTGACTCATCAAATGCCACAGAGACCGTGAGCAGAAATATTTTGAAAGATATTACCTGAGGGGTTTTGCTTTGAGCCCAATTATGAGCAGCCAGACTTGGTCTGTGCCTTACCAATGTATTCTAAGAATTTATGGCAGCACAGGGACTTAAATATCAGTAGGCTTGGTAGTAAAGATATTTTATTAATTATGAAACAATAAGTTTTAAAGAATTGCTTGTATAAAAGCAAAATTATCTAAGTTATCTGTACATGCATGATATATATCTGTGGATTAAGAGAATTTTTAATGGCATGATTACATAGTTTCACTAAATATTGAACATGCAGGGGTTGTCCAGAAAGTATCTAGCCATTGTTAATATATTGAGAACAGTTACATGGCTGGATACTTTCTGGACAGCCCTGATATTTCAGGAGCACTTCAATTTATCAGTTCATTAATATATATTTAAAGAATACAAACAAATTAATGTGAAACAATTTAAAAATTAAAACATTTTAAGAGATCAGCTTTCTAACTGGAAAGTAAAAAAATAAAGAAAAATTAAGAAAAAAAAATTTAAAAAAATTAAAGCATTTGGAACTCAAACATAGATAACTTTATTTTATTTTTTAACCTTTTATTTTTGGTTATGTCCATCTACTTTACATTTAATAGTGTGACTAATCAAAAATTAACTGTTCACATAGATTATTTTACTTATTCTGAGCCATTGTATATATTCTATTAGGATTATTCCAAAAAACCTTCCAACTCTTGGTTGTGTGACCTCAATTTCTTATTTAGAAGTCTCAATTCAAGACAGTCTAAATAATCGGACTAATTTTTCTGGTTGGGGAGATGGTTGCCTGAATAGCTTATTTTTAAATCCCAGAGTCATTTCACAGACTTAGGCCAACTTTCCATATTCATTCTCCATTTCTTCCTTAACTAAATGCTGGGGACTCTATTCTCCTTTCCTCTGCTACCATTCAACCTACCTTGGCATTCCTCTCAAAGCTAATGGTGAAGTGAGACAGGATTTATTATGTTCCTCTAAATACCACCTAGTTTAGGACTCTTAAAGTTACAAAGGCTCTAAGATTTTAAGAAAGTTCCTCCAGGCTTCATTCTTCCCTCTTTAAATTTTCTACTTTTCCAGATCAGGCTGAGATTTAGCAAGTGCTATAGTTTGGATATTTGTTCCCCCTAGACCTCATGTTGAAATCTGATCCTCAGTGTTGGAGGTGGGGCCTAATTAGAGGTGTTTGGGTCTTTGGGGCAGATCCCTCATAAGTAGATTAATGCCTTCCCTGGTGGTGAGGAAGAGTGAGTTCTCATTATTTTCCTCCAGAGCCAGTTCTTAGAAAGGGCCTGGCATGTCCCCTCTGGGGCTCTCTCCGCTTCCTCTCTCACCATGGGACCTGTGCACATGGCAGCTCCCTTTTGCCTTCTGCTGTGAGTGGAGGCAGCCTGAAGCCCTTACCAGATACAGGTGCCAGTGTCATGCTTCTTGTACTGTCTGCAGAACTGTGAGCGGAATAAACTTCTTTTTTATATAAATTATACAGCCTTGGGTATTCCTTCATAGAAACACAAATGGACTAAGACTGCAAGGAAGCTTGAGGGTGAGGTAGGGTTCTTTTTAAGTGTTTTCTCTCAGAAAGATCATTTGCATTTCTGGCTGGTCCTCTAGATCAATGCTTTCTAACTGATTTTATGGGATGGAAAACAAATACATAGAAAATAATAGTATTTTTTGCCAGGCGCAGTAGCTCACACCTGTAATCCTAGCACTCTGGGAGGCTGAGGCGGGTGGATTGCTTGAGGTTAGGAGTTCAAAACCAGCCTGAGCAAGAGTGAGACCCTGTCTCTACTATAAATACAAAGAAATTAATTGGCCAACTAATATATAGAGAAAAAATTAGCCGGGCATGGTGGCACATGCCTGTAGTCCCAGCTACTTGGGAGGCTGAGGCAGGAGGATTGCTTGAGCCCAGGAGTTTGAAGTTGCTGTGAGCTAGGCTGATGCTGCGGCACTCACTCTAGCCTGGGGAATAAAGTGAGACTCTGTCTCAAAAAAAAAAAACCAAAAACCAAAAAATAATAGTATTTTTATGGTGTACATGGTATTACAGAAAAGACTGTGGTTATCCATGCCTGGAGGCTGTGGCTACCCTAGGCCTCACCATGCTACTCAGAAGGAATAAACATCTCAGGCAGACCTGTAACCTATTCTCAGTGGATTTCCCTTTCCCATTATTGGGAAGCTGCAATTTAAACAATGGGAGCTATCTTCTGGTGCTTTTCTGGAATGGGAGTCCCCTTAAACTACTTAGTTTTTTTCCTGGTATATGGAAATTCAGATAACTATTCCTATTGGTTCATGTTGCTCTTTAAGATTCCTGTGCTGGCTGCCAAGTGGACAGAACTGGAGGAGTAGGACTATTTTAGATTCATTTTTCCTACTGAAATATTGTTCTTAACTGCTGACTACTAACGTACTTTTGTATAAACATCAAGACATGGCTGTGCATGCCAGGTGTTAGATGCATAGTTTTAGTGGACAAGAATTGGCTTCTGTTCTGAATTCAATAGTAGTTTTTCCAATTTGATGCAATTACATTAAGTCCAAATATACCAGAGTGTTTTCTTTTAGGCTTAGGATAGTGAAAGACAATTAAATGCCTAAGAATAGCTACTATTAGTAGAAGTATTAACTTTCTTCCTTTATTCTTAAGATGGCTTGAGTCTTTTTATCCTTTAGGTCTCAGTTTAAATATAATTGAGACTTCCCATGCTAACTCACGTAAGTGACCTTGTCATCCTCTCTTAGTCCCTTGCTTGCTAGTCTTTCTTAGCTCTTTACATACATATATACATATTTATTTGTTCCTGGTATGTAAGCCCTATTAGAAATATAAACTCCTTAAGAGCAAGTTTGCATCCAGCTTGTTGCCTAACACAAAGAGCGTATCCAAATTTGCTTACTGAATGAAACTCATGACCTTTTTCTGCAAATCATTTATTTGAAACATAAACTTTAAAAATATGTATTTTTCTAGTTTATTTTCTATATAAACTGAGGTATTCATGTTTGAGTCTCATTAATGTTTAGTAACATTTGATATAAACTTTCCCTTTGTGTTATATGGAAGTCTAAATTTACATAATCATTAAAAACCCCACAGCAGCACATTACCTACATTTGCCCGTGTTCCTTTCATAATTTTGAAACTTTGGCTTTTTCCTTTACTTGAAGTGTGGCAGCTTGGGCCTAATTTACATGCCACTAAGCACATAACTGGAAAAGAAAGCGAGGGTTCCCTGTATCAAAACTTAATTCCGAAGATCCAAATCGAAGAAATCGACCGACCCACTTTTCTGCTAAGGGTCTGTCCTGAGAGGCGAGCTCTCCTCCTCTGGCCGCTCTAGCCAAGTTGGCCGACTGACCCTGAGTCCTGGACGCAGCCTTCGAGTCCTGAATTTTGGGTCAGAGTTACTTTCCAACTGTGAGGCACGATTTTGTGTGCGTTCGAGACCGTGGCCTCGGAGGTGCGCACGTGGGGCGTAGCCGAGCCATTTAAACCAGCGAATCCGCGTTCACCCTTCACCTCCTGCCTCGTCTCTCTCGGCTGATGCTCCACGATGTGCGCGAACTCCCGAGTCCCGACCTTCCCCCTCCCCTGTCCAGGCTGCTCGGACGACTCGGGGCAGCCACTTCCCAGAAGGGGTGAGGATGAAGTTGGAAAAACTGAACTAGGTCGACAACAGAGCGCCGAAACTCAGTTCCAGGGACGCTCCGGAGCGCCGGAGAGGCAGGCAAGTTGCACCCGCGCGAAGGGGCGGGCCGGCTCGGGCCGCTCGCATTTCCTGTGACAGGGGCTGCCCCAGCCTCTCCCTCTCCCGCGGCGGCGGGACCATTTCCTGAATCGCTGAAGCGGAGGGAGGACTGGGGCGCGGCCCTACCATTAGCGCAAAGGGACGGGGGGTGCCGATAAGGAGAGCTGGAGGGTTGCCGGGACAGTCAAGTACGCAGACGTTCTACCGGGGCTGGGCTTCCCCCCACACGGGCAGAGACGAGACTTCTGTGGGCCAGAGTCCCTCCCTTAGGCCAGGCCAGCCGCCTGCTCGCCCGGCCCTGGAGCATCCCCCCTCCCCGCATTCCCGAGGTGGTTCAGCCCGAGAGGCCGGCGTCTTTCCCCCAGTTTGCCGTTCACCCGGAGCGCTCGGGACTTGCCGATAGTGGTGACGGCGGCAACATGTCTGTGGCGTTCGCAGCCCCGAGGCAGCGAGGCAAGGGGGAGATCACTCCCGCTGCGATCCAGAAGGTGAAACGTCGCGGGGTCGGGGATGCCAGGCCCACCCCGCCTCTGGGAGCGACTCGGCGGGCAGGGCTGGGCGCGGAGGCGGAGGCGGGCCTGCTGGGAAGCGGCCGTGTGGGAACCCAAGCCGCGGGCTGTGCCCGAGTGGGTGGCGGGAGAGGACGAACCGGTTTTTTCACGGAGTCCCTCGCGCGTTTAGCCTTTTTCCTAATAGGCACAAAAGCCCAAACAACCGCCGCCTGATTTCTCTGGGGATGGGGCGGCGTTCGGGCGGCGGGGCGCGTGCGCCCGGCGGCGGCCGCGCGGGGAAGGGCTGTGTGTCGCGGCCCCGCGCGTCGCTCCGGAGTTACTTTGGCGGCTCCGCGCCCCGCCCCGCCCCGCGCGCGGCTGCTGCTGCTCGGTGCCGTCCCGACCTCGCGTCCTGGCAGCCGGACGGAAGTCCCAGCGCTGGTCGCCGCCCCGCAAACTCTGGCCGAGTTGGGGAGCTCTTAGAGGACGTTACGGGGAAGCTTAGTAGAGTCTCAGGGGCCGGTGAGGAAGGACCCCATGGACTTGGCGGTTCCACCCGTACCCCCCGTCTGCACCAGTCCTTATTGATTCACATCCGCAGCAAGGATCTGTTGAGCAACTGTTGTAGGCGCTGAGGCTACTGTGATGAGCCATGGTCCCGCCTTCCTGGAGCCTACCGTCTAGTGGTGGGGACAGTCGTGACCAGTTATAGAAGTCGTGATACGCAGGGCGCAGCGTCCTTTTCAGAGGGTAGTGCGGCCGCGGTCGTTGCCGTGTTACTACTGCCAGTGGGAACACAAAGGTTCTTTATTGTCCTCTACCCCTTGTTGCCTATGAGCAAGGCTGTATTCTAAAAGTTACTTGTTAAATTCAGCAGTTTACGTTAAGTATTTTTGCTTTGTTTTTCGCAACAGGAGCAAGGATGAAAATAGGAAAAAAGTCAACTTTTTAGTACCTCTCAGGGCACCTAGATTATGTTAATCGGTTTCTGTTTATGTCAGGCTCTTTGGAGTGTGGCATTTGACATTTGCCCAACTGTTGCTTTATTTTATGAACAAACGGGCTTGGCAGTGCCTGGCAATGCAGTGCTTTCATGTAGTGCACTGGGCTAAGTCTGCAGCCTGGCTAACAGTTCCTGGTACACACGAACGCAAAACATGTTTCTGCAGGGGTTCGCTTTTTATTTCTGAGCTAGCGAAAAGTCCCGAGTTTTCCTTTTTTTTCTCTATAAAGTTTTTCTTACATAAGTCCTAAAATATTTATCATGGGTGATTAATTCAGAGAATGATGATCAGTTATTTTTCATCCTCAGATGAGAAGAGAAAAATGGATTCCAAATTAAGGGCCTCATTCTGCAGTGTGAGAGATTGGTGTTAGATGTGAGACATATTCTAATGGCGAATTTCATTAGGTTGAGAAGATGCGTTGTGAAATCCTTAGGTTGGAGATTGGATTAATGCATTTTAAGGACAATTTGTTTTTGTCCTCCGATGGCTCTATTTAAGAAGTGAGTGCCCTAATTACAAGGGCATGTTAATATTTTTTCCCAGCAAGTGAAAATTGTGATTCATGTGCAGAAAAAAAGTCACAGTTAATGTTAAGTGGATCTTCGTTTTTCATTAAGAATTAATTAGCTAAATTTATTGGGATAGAATGATTATGGTATTGTGCCCAATACTTTTATTGAATACTGGTAGGGTAAGACAGGTTCAGGAGGAACATCTCCTATCCTTTGATCTTACAGCCAAATCTGAGCCCCTGAAAACTTTTAAGTGGTTCGCTCAGGCTAGCAAAGCTGGCACTAAAACTAACTGACCTTTTAATTGCTACAATCAGTACTCTTTCCTCAGTGCCACCTTATTTAGATGAATTATTTAACCCTTAAAATCAATATTGCTTTGAAGTATTATAAGATGGTAGAATGGCCAATGTTTTTGTTTTTAAACTTTTGAGACAATTATGAGGCAAACTCAATGTTTGTGATAAATATTATACATGCATAGAAATTACTGTATTTTATTATTATGCTATAATTGTAGAACCACAAATCTACACTGTTATAAAACTTGGAAACTGGTCAGCCACCTCATCAAGCCTCCTGGGCTGCAGTTTTCATGTATTTACTTCACTGGATAAGGACAGAATTTTTCTTTACTACTACAAAGTGTTAGAGTGATGCACACAACTCAGACTCTTAACTTTTAGTCTTAACTGGCTAAAGCTTCTATTACAGATAGCAGAGGTAATTAAATGTTTGAATATAAAAGAAGTTCAAACTTTCCCTTCTGTGTCTCAGATAATAATTCAGAGAAAGAATAATTGGAATAGAGATATTATAAGATTATTAATTAAACATGATATCATTTGAAAGGTATAAAACAAGATTTTCCATTGTAAGCTACAGTATGTATAAAAAAGACCCAAGTAGATTGAGTTTCTGTGTAGATGAAACATTTCTAGAAATCTAAAGGAAAATGTTACTTATTGAAAGTATGGTCCATGTGAACTGTGCATGACATATTTTTATAATATAAGAGATTTACACAGTTTAGTATGTAATGAAATTTTATGTGAGAGAGCTAAGTCACTAATCTTCCTTTAAATTATGTTTGTTATTAAAATGAATTTAAAAATATTTTGTAGCAGCAGGTAGCAACATTAACAAAGTAATTTTAAGGGAATTTTGTTTTTTATGTTTCTGTATACGCATAATGATTTTATAATCTGTAATGATTGGTTTGGGGTAACAATATTTTGTTAGGGGATTCACTTTAGGGTTCTTCTACAAGCAGCATTTACTAATGCCCTTGCTCCCTGTTTTCTAGTTTTTTATTTGATAAATTAGATTTACAATAAACTTTTTCTAATTTTTTTCAGATGTTGGATGAAAATAACCATCTTATTCAGTGTATAATGGACTATCAGAATAAAGGAAAGACCTCAGAGTGTTCTCAGTAAGACTGATGTGAAAATTTTTTTGTATTCATTTGCTTAAATTTTTTATTTTTAATAACAGCTTCATTAAGATATATTTTATATATCATATAATTCATCTCTTTTAAAGTATACAATTCAGTCTCTTTAGTGTATTCATGGAGTTGTGCTAATATCACCTTAATCAATTTTAGAACATTCATAATCCTAAAAAGAAACTATACCCATTAGCAGTCATTCCTCACCCCTTCATCCCTCACTTCCTGACAACCACTAATCTGCTTTCTGTGTAGATTTGCCTATTGTGACATTTCATAGAAATAAATTCATATGGTATGTGGACTGTTTTGACTAACTTTTTTTTTTCCACTTAGCATAATGTTTGCAAGGTTCATACATGTCAAAGCATGTATTAATACTGCATTCCTTTTTTATTGCCAAGTAATCTTCCATTGTACAGTTATACCACGCTTTATTTATCCTTCAGTTATGGATGTTTGGGCTGTTTGTATGTTTTGGCCATTATGGATAACACTTCCTTGAACATTTGTGTACAAGTTTTTGTGTGACTTATCTCGATTTTCAAATTTTCAAAAGAAAAATTTCTTTCGCAGGGAGGTGGGTGTCATTTTTTTCTTATGCATCTTACCCTGCATTGTAAAATAATGACTTCAAATTTGTGTATAATCTGATCTGTGGAAAAGTTAGCTTTTAATATATGTAGGATATTGAATTTCATTCATATATATGGTTGAGATAGCAAAGTTTATATCTAATACATAGAAAATTGATTATCATTCTTAAGGACCAGACTTTCTTATTTTGAAGTAGTGTGTCTGATGTGGTAGAATAAGTTGACTATTTTATCAAAAGTCTTTAGAACAGCACTGTCCAGTGGAAATATATATGTGAGCTACATATGTAATTTTAAATTTTTAGTAGACACAGTAAACAAGTAAAAAGAAACATGAAATTAATATTAATGTGTTTTATTTAACTCATTATTTCTAAAATAGTATCATTTCAATATATAATAAATATAAAAATATGAATGAGATATTTTGTATTTCTTTTTTTCATACTAAGTCTCCAAAATCTATTGTGTGTCTTACTAGAATAACACATCTCATTTTGGATTAGCCACGTTCATTGTGTCTAGTGGCTGCTATTTGGACAATGTTGCTCTAGAATATAGTCATCCCTCAGTATCCATGAGAGATTAGTTCGGGGACTAACCTGCAGATACCAAAATCCACAGATGCTCAAGTCCCTGATATACAATGGTGTAGTATTTGCATATCACCTACGTACATCCGCCTGTATACTTTCAGTCATCTCTAGATTACTCGTATTACCAAATACAATGTAAATACTATGTAAATAGTTGTTACACTGTATTGTTGAAGGAATAATGACAAGAAAAAAGTGCACATGTTTAGTACAGATTGCAACCACTCATATATATATGTATATATATATATATATATATATTTTTTTAATATTTTTGATCTGTGTTTGGTTGAACGCACAGATTTGGAACCCATGGGAAGGGAGGGCCAGCTGTATTTTATTTTCACTGTTGTTTTGGGCACATCTCTGTTTCCTAGATATCTCATTGGTCTGTTCTCAGGCAGATAATTCCCAGCAACCCTGACTCTTGCTTTGCTTAGTTTTCATGCTGTACCAGTCTCTTGTTGTCATTTGGTTGACCCTTTATTTAACTGCAAGTCTCCATTACTTTTTCTTTTTTTCTTTTGTTAAAAATTATTTTTTTAAATAAAACAGTCATATGGTCATTGTAAAAAAAAAAGCATAAAGTGTGAAAGTTTTCAGAGATAAGTCACATTTTATATCCCACTGTCTTATATCCCTTCTTCCCTCCACGGGGGTAACTGCCTTTAATGCTTTAAATATGTATCCTTTCAAACATTTTTTTGGTACATTTACATATATATTGACTTCTTTGTAAACACATGTATATAGATATTGTTTTTAATATTTATGTAGGTTACAGTTTTATATATGGAATTAATGGGTCAAAGATCATGCTGAATTGCCAAATTACCCTGCAAAAAAGATTGTATTGGTTTGCTTTCCCACAACCAACCAGATTTTCAGAGTCCTGGTTTTCAACCACCTCTGCCATGTTAGTCATCTTTAAAAAATTTTTGCACATCTGATTGTGAAAAGTGGTATTTTTTTTTTTTTTTTTTTTGAGACAGAGTCTCGCTTTGTTGCCCAGGCTAGAGTGAGTGCCATGGCGTCAGCCTAGCTCATAGCAACCTCAAACTCCTGGCTCAAGCAATCCTCCTGCCTCAGCCTCCCGAGTAGCTGGGACTACAGGCATTCGCCACCATGCCCGGCTAATTTTTTGTATATATATTAGTTGGCCAATTAATTTCTTTCTATTTTATAGTAGAGACGGGGTCTCGCTCTTGCTCAGGCTGGTTTCGAACTCCTGACCTCGAGCAATCCGCCCGCCTCGGCCTCCCAGAGAGCTAGGATTACAGGCGTGAGCCACCGCGCCCGGCCGAAAGTGGTATTTTTTTAAAAAACTTTTTCTTTTGAAATAATTTCACACTTAAAAAAGTTTCCAAAATAGTACAAGAAATTGCTGTATCCCCTTCACTGAAATTTCTCAAATGATAATCATGTTAGCCTATTATTTTATCATTCATTTCTCCCCCATATTGTTTTTCTGAAACATTTGAGAATAATTGCAGATACGATTCCCTCTTACTTCTAATAACCTCAGTGTGTATTTCCTAAAAATACGCACATGTTCTTAAATTACCGGAGTAATATTGTTAAAATCAAGAATGCAATACCATTATCTATGCCATTATCTAACCTTTAAAGGTTTTTGAATGTTGCCAATTGTCCTGTTAGTGTTTGTTTTCTGGTCCAGGGTCCAGTGCAGGATCTGATGTTGCATTTACTTGTCATGTCTCTTCAGTATACTTTAATCTGGAACTGTTCCTCGGTGTTTTGTTTCTTTTTTTTTTTTAATGTTTCATGATGTTGACATTGTTGAAGAGTACAGACCAGTTATTTTGTGGAATGTCCCTCATTTAGAATTTGACTGCCGTTTCCCCATGATTAAATTCATGTCATGCACTTTTGGCAGGAGTACCACAGATGTGATGTTGTATCCTTCTCCCTGCTTCTTTAGTAGGCATATAATAGCAGTTTGTCCCAGTTTTGGTGATAACTTTGATCACTTATTAAATTGGTACCTGAAAGTTTGTCCACCATAAAGTTACTTTTTTTTCCCTTCTTTTAGGGAAGATACCTTGAAACACACATATGCTGTTTCTCACACTTCAACACATTAGTTTAACATCCACCAATGATTTTTGCCTGAAATAGTTAATACTGTGGTGGTTGCCAAATGGTGACTAAATCCACCATTCCTTCTACTTTTATTTGAATCCTACTATTAGGAAGAAATTTCTCTTCCTCTCCCCCATTCATTCTTTCATGCATTTTTATATCTGAATAGACTTACACATTCTTACTATATTCTCTAGGTTATAATGTTATCCTGTTACTTTCTTTCTTTAATTGTCCTGGATTTGCCCACTGGGAGCCCCTCAACCTGGTTTCTTGATATGTCTTCATTATTTTTGAGCATTTTCTTATTTTCTTGTACCACAAAATGTTCCAGGTTCATCTTGACTTTTTCCTGTGCAAGTCTGGAATCACCCGTTTCTCTAATCTCTAGTTCTTTTTGGAGAAAAACAGATAGATATAGATATATTTAGAAACTATATCTGAGTGCTAGGTTCTTACTATTTAATCTCTTGTATGTTTTGCATTTTATATGACCATTTCCGTTTATGTATATTGTTTCTTTGATGAATCTTGTCTATATATTTGGAAATATTCTTTTTTTTTTTGGCAGAATCTCACTTTGTTGCCAGGCTAGATGCTGCCGTTGGCATCAGCTGGTACTGCAACTTCAATCTCGGGGTCCAGCGTCCTTTGCTCAGCTCCCGAGTGTGGGATACGGCATTGTGCCACATGGCGGCTAATTTTTTTTGGTATTATATTTTAGTTGGTTAATGTTCTCTCTATTTTTGGTAGAGACGGTCTCGTCAGGCGGTTTCGAACTCCTGACTTGAGCTATCGCCTCTCGCCAAAGTGCTAGATACAGGGTGGACCACCGGCCCGCTTATATTTGGAATATTCTAAAAAAGTTGACTAGTGGTCTGTTCTTCATATTAATATGAATATCTCATTGATATGGAATCATTAATAGGTTGCCATGAATGAAGACACTTAGTGGCATGACTATTTAGAATAATAGTTCTACACAGATAACAACCTTTTGGTCAACAATGGACTGCAGTCGGTGATTCATAGGATATATACCTATTTTTATGTACTTTTCTTTCTTTCTTTCTTTTTGGAGACAGAGTCTCGCTTTGTGCCAGGCTAGAGTGAGTGCCATGGCGTGCCTAGTCTCACGGCAACTCAAAATCCTAGGTCAAGGATCCTCCTGCTCAGCTCCGAGTAGTGGATACAGGCATGTGCACCATGCCCGGTAATTTATATATTATATATTATCAGTTGGCCATTAATTGTATTATTAGAAGGGGTTTTATCTGTGCTCGGCTGTGGTTTGATCCTGCTGGCATCGCCGGGCTCGCTCCGAGGTGGTTAAGGCGTGAGCCACCATGCCCGGCCTACTAGAATTTTTTTTATGGTGTCTATTTTAGAAAATTACTTCATTCAGGATCTGAATTAGAGTACTTTATTCAGCTGAACACAGTTCTTTTTTTTTTTTTTTTTTTCTTTTTTCGCATCGAGTTGAGGAGTGATGAACACAGTTCTTTTGACTTATTTTTATTACCTTAATTTGTAGTTAGTATTTTTAGTAAATGAAATTTTAAGGCAGCCTAACAATTTGATGCAGGTTTTAAAGTTTGTATTTATGGGGCTTACTGTATGCATGCTCTGAGATCCAGTACTAACAATTGGATCACTACTTATTTTAATATGGTTTTATCTGAGTTAATTAAAAAAATTATAAAGAGAGGCTTAGCTAAACTAATTCATAAGTAAGATTACAGTAAGCATACATCATGCTAATAATGAGAATATATTTTTTCAAGTTATTCTTTAGCAATGTTGGTGTCCTATCATTTCTTCCATCTCTGTTTTAGCATATCTTTTTTTTTTCTGTAGTTGGTGATTACCTGTTCACTGTATATTACCTGCATATATTGAGTCCCTGTAGATAGGTAGTATAAACCACAGCAGGCATAAGTTGTTGGTTATTGCTGTAGAAACGAGAAGGGAAAAAATGTGTGGTTCTTACCTCCTTTTCCTACATTTTAGCAGAACGTGTTGAGTGGGTTTGAGGTTTTTGACAAAATGAAAATGGCAGAAGGAAGGAGATAACCATATTTCATTGAATTTCTTTATTTTAGTTCCTTTTAAACAAAAACTAAATGTACCAGTATGGAGCTATTACATTTATCAGTTATTCTATATACTAGCTATGCAATCTTGTACAAGTTATCAACCTCTCTCAACCTTAGTCTCCTCATCTGTAAAATGGAAAAAAGAACTCCTACCTCATAGTGGTTTTTGAGAATTAAATGAGTTATATAAACATATAAAACAATTAAAACAACATCTAGCACATGGTAAGATCTGTGTGTTCGTTATTATCTTTAAATATATTATTTATTATTTGGAATTATTTTACAGAGGAAATAGGAAAAATTGAAGTGCTATTGATGTTCAGGTAACAAATCTTTTATTAAACTTTAGAAATGATTAGAATGTTGTTTGTATTTAGGCAGGTAGGAAAAAATTATTTTTTAATATTGATATTTGTTTTGTTTTAATAGGTATCAGCAGATGTTGCATACAAACTTGGTATACCTTGCTACAATAGCAGATTCTAATCAAAATATGCAGTCTCTTTTACCAGCAGTAAGTACCTTTAAAATAGTGTGAAGTAGACAGTCTGTACAGTTATATATGGTATAACATATTTTTGTTGAATGATTTTTGAGTTTTGTTTAGTAAATACTGCCTTACTCTGAGAACATGAAAGTATTCTGTATTATCTTTTTAGAAGCTTTATTGTTTTGCTTTCATATTTAATTTGAATTAACTCACCTAGGATTGATTCCTACCCTGAGAAAGTTATTAATATATTCATTTACCCATCTACTCGCCTATTTATTTATTTTAATTTTTATTTGTAAAAGTAATTTGTTAATAAATCTGTAGTATTTCACAGTAAATTCCAGACTTCATAAAATTTCACCAGTAAATATTATACTTCAATATGCATCTCTAACAGATAGTTATCCCACCCAGTGAAGTTAACTATATGTCTTTTAATACCCAATCTGTATTCAATTTTTATTAATTATCTAAAAAAACCTAAATGTTTTAAAAGTTGTTTGCCTCAGACTGCAAACAAGTTCCACATATTGCTTTGGTTGATATGTGTCTTAAGTCTCTTTTAATCTGTATCAGTTTGTCCATTTAAATTTCCATTTATTTGTTAAAGAAACTGGGTCATATGTTGTGTAGAATTTTTCACATTCTGGATTTGGCTGATTGTATCCTTATGGTCCTTTAATATGTTCTATCTCTCTTATTTCATGTAAACTGATAATTAGAGACTAAATTGGAGTTAGATTGATTTTTTTTTTTAAGAGTATTTCATTGGTTGTGTTTGTATTTCCTATTATATTACATCAGTTTGGTGGTTCCATTTTTAGTAATGTTAAGATTGATCAGTGGGTATAGTTGATACCAGCATCAGTCCATTTTAAAGTTCCCTATCTACCTTTCTTTCTTTTTTTTTGTTTCTTTTTTTTTTTTTGAGACAGAGTCTCACTCTGTTGCCGTGGCATCAACCTAGCTCACAGCAACCTCAAACTCCTGGACTCAAGTGATCCTCCTGCTTCAGCCTCCCAGGATAGATGGGACTACAGGCACAAGCCCGGCTTGTTTTCTTCTATTTTAGTTGTTTGGCTAATTTATTTTTATTTATAGTAGAGACGGGGGTCTCGCTCTTGCTGAGGCTGGTCTCGAACTCCTGAGCTCAAGTAATCCTCCTGCCTCAGCCTTCCAGAGTGCTAGGATTACAGGTGTAAGCTACCGCACCTGGGCACTACCTTTTACTTACTGGTTTTTGTAGTCATTGATGCTTGTTGACCAGATCCTTTATTTCATTTTGGAGTCACAGAGTGGGAAATTTCAAATTTTACGATTCCTCGTGCATATATTAGCTATAATTCTTTATTAAAAAAAAAAATCTTCACCAAATGTTTGAGGTTATCTCGAAATTGGAGAGTCCATATAGGAAAGTCATGATAAAGGCATGATTCTAACTCTTTGTCAATTTTCTGAATAGATAGTTGGTCTCTGGCAACCTATGAAGGTGACCAGTGGGTTTTTTTTTTTTTTTTTTTGAGACAGAGTCTCACTTGTTGTCCAGGCTAGAGTGAGTGCCGTGGCGTCAGCCTAGCTCACAGCAACCTCAAACTCCTGGGCTCAAGCGGATCCTCCTGCTCAGCCCCCGAGTAGCTGAACACGATGCGGCCACCCATCCCTAATTTGTTATATATATCATTGGCCCAGATTAATTTCTTTCTATTGTGTATAGTAGAGGACGGGTCTCGCTCATGTTGTACTGGTTTGAACTCCTGACCTTGAGCAATCCGCCCGCCTCGGCCTCCCAAGAGCTAGGATTACAGGCGTGAGCCACAGCGCCCGGCCGACCAGTGGGTTTTTTAAATCTGAACTTACAAACTTTCATATGCTTAATGTGTTTAAATCCTTTGCAATAATTTTTTTGTTTTTTTGAGACAGTCTCACTGCCTGTTGGCCTGGGCTAATTCCGTGGGTGCAGCCTAAGCTCACAGCAACCTCAAACTTCTGGGCTCAGGCAATCCTCCTGCCTCAGCCTATCAAGTAGCTGGGAATACAGGCATGCGCCACAATGCCCAGCTAATTTTTTCTATATATTTTTAGTTGGCCAATTAATTTCTTTCTAATTTTAGTAGAGACAGGGTCTCGCTCTTGTTCAGGCTGTTTTCAAACTCCTGACCTTGAGCTATCCTCCCACCTTGGCCTCCCAGAGTACTAGGATTACAGGTGTGAGCCACTGCACCCGGCCTCCAGTAATTCTTTATGGTGTTCACATTTTGTTTCTTTGATCAGGGTTAAGCCTCTTCATTTGGCTCCTGTGTCCTTCCAACGTGACTCTAGTATTCTTTTTTAGCTTCTTGGCTTTCATGATTTGAGAGAGATGTCAGGTTAATTATATTTTTTGCTTTAGAACTGGAAATCGTTAAGGAGTTTTTTTTAATGGAATTGGTATTTAGAGAATACAATTTGGGGAGTTGGGGCATTCATTATTACCAGGTTTTCATTGTTTCCAGGCCTTTTTAGTGTGCAGAATTAGTAACACATCTTTAAAGTAAACACATCTTTAAAAACAGAAAGAAAATACTGGATTCTTAGTGATATTTACACTTCAGGGAAGGATTTTTACTTAATTTTGATTTTATATATTAGTATCTCCTCTCTCTAATAATCTTGGTTACTTATTGACATTACTGTAGTTGCTTATTTGCTTTATACTATTATACTATATAGAAAAAATACTTTCAGTTAAACAGTGCCAAAATTACCACTAACAATAAGCTGCTTATCCTTAAGATACATCCTACTCAGGATATTTAATCAATAAAGTTTTTTTGTACTTGAGATAGTTCTTCATGTGGTTATTGTCATGAACTTGATTACCAGCTAGGTAGAGTTTACTTTTGTGAATAAATAGCATGAGGAATAGGTTCAGTTTCATTTGTTCCCATATGGATAGTTCTCTGTCCCATCTTTATTTATTGGAAAAACAAAATAAAATATCTTTTCTCTGTTTTGTCATGCCACCTGTGTCACACCAGGTATCTATATGTTTGCGTCTTTGTCTGATCTCTTTATTCTGTTCCATTGATCTGTTTTTATAAATTCCACTATCTTGTCACCCTTGATATATATTAGAGAAATTCTTATATCTTATTTTTTTCAAGATTATCTTGGCTAATGGTCCTTCGTATTTCCATATACACTTAAACATCAGTATGCCAAGTTATAGATACACATTGATAATCTTGTTGGAATTTTAATTGTGATTACCTTGACTCTAAATCTATTTGGGATGAATTGATATCTTTACAAAATTGAGTTCCAGATAATAAGAATTGTGTAAATTTTCATTTATTTTGTCCTTTAATGTCTGTCAGTGAAGTTGTATGATTTTCTGTGTAAAGGATTTGCACATCTCTGATTGGACTTATTACTAGATACTTCATATTTTTTGAGGCCATTTTAAATGGTGTCTTTGTTTTTTAAGTTTTATTTTCTAAATGCATTTGCTGTTTACATGAAAATGCAATTGATTTTGAATCTCATAATCTTTTTCAACTCTTATTTCTTACAGTTTTTCTGTAGATACTTTCAGTTTTCTGTATTCACGATCGTATCATTTGTGAATAATGAGTTTTGTTTCTTTCTTGCCAATCCTTATACCTTTTATTTCTTTTCTCTTGCCTTACTTTTTCTGGCTAGGACCTCCAACCAGTACATTCCTGAATAGAAGTGATGATAGAGGACATCCTTGTCTTGTTCCTGATCTCAAAGGGAAAGCTTTCACTGTTTGGTCATTAAGTATGATGTTTGCTGTAGTGTTTTGTAGATAACTTTTATCCGATTAAGGAAGTTCCCATCTGTTTCTGGTGTTCTAAATAAGAATTTGTATCTTGAATGGATGTTAAATTTTATCAAATACTTCAATTGCATCAAATGAGATGACCATAAGTTTTTTTTTCTTTAATCTGTTAATGTAAAATACACTGATTTACGTTTTAATGCTCAATCAATCTCGCATTCTTGTAATTAACCTACCTGTTCATGACTCACTTGATCATGGTCTTTTAAAAAAATTACTATATTCAGTTTGTTAAAATTTTGATCAGGATTTTTGCATCTTTGTTCATGAGTATAATTTACCTATAATTTTACTTTCTTATAATACCTTTGTATGGTTTTTATCTTGAGGTTATGTTGGCTTTATAAAATGAGCTGGAAAATTTTTCCATATTTTCTTGTATGGAAGAATTTGCATAATATAGCTGTTATTTCTTTCTTAAATGATTGGTATAGTTCTTTAGAAAAACCATCTAGATCTGGACTTTTCTTAGTAGGAAAACTTTATTTACGTATTTCTTTAATGGCTATCAGACACTTTATATATTCCTATATTTTATAAATTGCCTATTTTGGTACATTGCATTTACTGTTTTAATAAATTTGAAAATTCATTAGCATGAAATAAAAGTTCATGAAATAATCTTATCTTTCTAATGTCAACAAGATCTGTAGTGATATTCTTTTTTTATTTTTGACAAAGTTATTTGTGCCTTCTCTTTTAAAATATTTTTTGGTCATTCTTGCCACGTGTTTGCTATATATGTGTTTTAGTCTTTTCAAGGAATCAGTTTTTGGCTTGGGTTGCAGCATTTTTCAAACTTCCTGGTTTCAGAAGCCCGTTACATTCTCCAAAATAATTGAGAACTCCAGAGAGCTTAATGTGGGTTATATCTATTAATATAAGTTATAAATTTTTCTGTTTTTAAATTAAAACTGATAAATTAAAAACAGTTTACTTAACAATAACAATAGTAACCTGTTGCATGTTAACATAAATAACATTCTTTAAAGGAAAAATAACTATCTTTGAGAACAAATTTAGTGAGATAAATGACATCAGTTCATATTTTTGTAAATTTCTTTTAAATATCTGGCTTAGTAGAAGACAGCTGTGTTTTCCTTTTTCTTTTCTTTTTCTTTTTTCTTTTCTTTTTTATACAGGATCTCATTCTGTTGTCTGGTCTAGAGAGTAATGGCAT